AAGCCTCATTCATCACCCTTGTTTAGTGACTGCCTGGTACAGGGACAAAGATGATCAGGGGACTGGAGGCTAAAACATATAAGGAACGGTTGCTGGAATTGGGCATGTCTAGTTTAACGAAGAGAAGGACGAGGGGGGACATGATAGCAGTCTTCCAATATCTCAGGGGCTGCCCCAAAGAAGAGGGAGTCAAGCTATTTTCCAAGGGGCCTGAAGGCAGGACAAGAAGCAACGGATGGAAACTAATCAAGGAGAGAAGCAACCTAGAACTAAAGAGAAACTTCCTGACAGTTAGAACAATTAACCAGTGGAACAACCTGCCTCCAGAAGCGGTGAATGCTCCAACACTGGAAGCCTTTAAGAAGAGACTGGACAGCCATTTGTCTGAAATGGTATAGGGTTCCTGCCTGAGCAGGGGGGTATTATTATTATTATTATTATTGCTGCTGTTGTTGTTGTTGTTACAACAGTGATGAAAAAGTAACTTTGCTACCAAGTCCTCTCATTTATGACTTTTTCAGGTCTGTAAAGCAAAAAAAAAAACCAAACCCTAAGTAGTAACACATTTGTATTTTGCTTACTTTAATACTTTACTTAAGTATTAACACACTTGTATTTCCTCCTATCTATCTCATTCCAAAATTAGACTGTGTACTGTGTTTTATCTTATCGATACGTTTTATTTTGTTGATCACGTCACAGGACTGATCAATCAATGAACTACTACTATTTCTACAAGTGTAGTTGCGGTACTATTTAGCGATCATTGTAGATTTTAGAAAGAGCCGGCATAGCCATACTCCACTCTGTATCAAGACTGCAGCTGTGGAGTTGGTCAACCCTATTAAGTATCTGGGGGTGCAGGTAACTAACAATCTGACTTGGTTTCTCCACACATCATCCTTAGTGAAGTGTGCAAACCAGTGTTTGCATTTCTTGCATCAGTTGAGGAGAGCACATCTTTCTCCTTCTGTCCTGGCCACTTTTTACCGAGGCACGATTGAGAGCATCTTAACAAACTGCATCACTGTCTGGTTTGGTGGTAGCAATGCCTCAGATAGAGGGTCCACACAGAGAGTGATAAGGATAACTGAGAAATGATAGAGGAAGCCATTATTCAGGATACTGCTTATAAGAGCCGCGTACTTAGACCTCGGAGATTGTTAGAGACCCCCCTACACTTTACGGTCTGTTTCTGTTGCTCCCCTCTGGGAGGAGGTTTGGAAGTATTTATAGCAGGACTACTAGATTCTGTAATAGCTTTGTTCCCTATGCCATCCGTCTGGTAATCTCGCAAGACTCCTTTTTCTTGCCATGTATATGTATACATCCAAACTAGAGTGTTGTTTCTCTGGGCCACATATGTGTGTGTATGAGAGTATGTGCAAAATTTATTTTATTTGATGTTTTTTTTTGTTATGTTTATGCAGTGTATCTTGGAAGTGGTTACCCTTTGAGAGCTGTATGCAATGAAATCTCATTCTAACATATGCTGATCAGTGTACATTTAAAGTGACAAAGTTATTATTCTATTGATCAATCAATCAACTACTACTACTTCTACAAGTGCAGTTGCAGTACTTATTTAGCGACTGCTTCACTTAATGACCAAGTTGCCGGCTAAATGAGAGCTACCTGTAATAGCGCAATGCGAATGAGTTTCCAATAGAAGAGCCTGCCTTGGTAGACGAAAGAGAATTCCTTTAGGTTTCAGTTGGGATGTGCAAATAGCATAATTAGTGTCAACCAATGAACGTTTCCGAACAATTCAGGTGAACTTTAAAACCCTGAGAAAGAGACGCGATACCTGATTCGTCCCCCGAAGGACACAGGTTTCTCCAGTTCAATGAGGGAGATATCGTAGTCGTAGAATTCTTGGATGCCCTGAGCTGTCTTGGCTCGAATGTTGTATAATTCATGGTCGATCCGTCTCTTTATCTTTATCCTGATTTCTCCTCCTGCCAAGGGGAGAAAGAATCAGAGATCCTCCATTTTCTTTTTCTACTGTAAAACTCTGCATTGAGGAGCCCTCGGTGGTCTCTGAGCTTGGCTGTTTTCTTGCAGACGTTTCATTAACCCAAACTAGATAACCTCATCAGCGCTTGAACTACTTGTTACGGACTAACAGTGCTGGTTACCTAGTTTGGGTAATGAAATGCCTGCAAGTAACCATCCAAGCTCAGAGAACACCAAGGACCCCTCCTTTCAAATCTGAGCTACAAGTATTTTCATCTTTATTGGTAAACGTTGCATTGCTGTCAGGAAAAATGGCCTCCTTCTTTTCCTGTCATTTCTGGAGATGACGAGAAAACAGCCAGCATCAATCTGCCAGGGATTTAGTTGGTCACAAAGATACCTCAACTTTCCAGTAGAAGAGAATAGCTATACCACAGGGTTGAACTGTGGGGTGGTTGGTGTTCTCTGAGCTTAGTTGTTTTCTTGCAGACATTTCGGTGCCCAACTATGTACCATCATCCGTGTCAGTTGATGATGATATTACTGATGATGGTATCTAGGTGGGTAATGAAACACCTGCATGCAAACAACCAAACTCAGAGCATTAAGGTTCTACATTTAGGCAAGAAAAACCAAATGTACAGGTATAGTATAGGGGGTACCTTGCTCAATAGTAGTAACTGTGAGAAGGATCTCGGAGTCCTAGTGGACAATCACTTAAATATGAGCCAGCAGTGTGCTGCAGCTGCCAAAAAAGCCAACACAGTGCTAGGCTGCATTAACAGAGGGATAGAATCAAGATAACAGGAAGTGTTAATACCACTTTACAATGCCTTGGTAAGGCCACACTTGGAATACTGCATCCAGTTTTGGTCACCACGATGTAAAAAAGATGTTGAGACTCTAGAAAGACTACAGAGAAGAGCAACAAAGATGATTAGGGGACCGGAGGCTAAAACATATAAGGAACGGCTGCTGGAATTGGGTATGTCTAGTTTAACGAAGAGAAGGACGAGGGGGGACATGATAGCAGTGTTCCAATATCTCAGGGGCTGCCACAAAGAAGAGGGAGTCAAGCTATTCTCCAAGGCGCCTGAAGGCAGGACAAGAAGCAACGGATGGAAACTAATCAAGGAGAGAAGCAACCTAGAAC